GGAATCCACTCTGACTCTTAAAGCAGCCACACCGTGATTCAGGTTAATGCAGGAGAGTGAAACATGCCTGGCTGCGTTAATAAATAGCCCGGGGTGCTGTGTCCTTGCAAGGGTCAAAGTACTGATTCTGAATCTTTTCCAAAGCATGCAGCCCAAAATCTCATCAACTATTCTCACTTCCCCCTCAAAGACACTGATCGTGGCTCCTTTGTGCTGAGGAAGCCATAATCTGCAGGCTGCCCAGGTCTCCAGGGAGGAATATCAGAAGCTCCCAGAAGCCACCAGCTCTCCACAGGGCAGCTCTCATGGGACAGAAGGGAAAGCCCCTTTGGCGGTCCACCTACAGCGGCAAAATCTCCAGGACAGCCCTGTCTGGCTCTGCCTTCTTGCTAGCTGCTGGCAGGAGCAGGGCTCAGCTCTGCTTCTGGCACCAAAGGAACAGAACTGGATCAGCTCCAACCTCTGCTCAGCTATAAAGACTGCAGAGTTTCCTTGGCCAAGCAGACGTTTCTCTTCTTTAATGGAAAGGTTTGCTTTGATACAAAAACCAAACCACAGGAAGGAAGAGTTTAGTTCACATCCAGATCTGAACATACTCATCTGATTTATACAAAGAGATGAAACTCAGAGATTGTCTTTCAGAATAGCTGTGCGCGTTAAGAACCTACCACCCCTTTCAGAATTGGCTGGGAAGGATTCAGCCATTCAGAGTATAGACATATTTCCAAGAATTTTGCTTCCTGGGAGGCTCAGGTGATGGGGAGCTATTTTGGGGCCTGAATTCCTATGGAGGCAGCAGTGGAAAAACAGAAACTGAACTTTGGAGCAGAGGGAGGAGCCTACTGGAGGTGGAAGAGCATTTCTGCCCCAGTCGATTCAAAAGCCTGCAAGACTAGCAACATCATAGCAATAGAAATATCCTTCCAGGGATGAGGAACAGCCCAATGAAGAATGAGTGTCCTCCAATAGCCACGGAATGAAACAGAATGGTTGGGAGTCCCGACTCAGGTTGAAATAAAAATGTGAAGGAGGAAAACCACCATGAAGGCATTTCTGTGCTTAGCTAGAGAACTTGGGGATGGGAGACCCACTTTCTCAGCACAATCATGTTGAGAAGGCCATTTTCAGATCTGGAGAATGAGGATCCCCTGAACTTGGTGAGGAAAGACTGACCAGGGGTCATCCTTTCTCCCTGTTTTATGATAGGGACTGACAACATCACAGGCAGGACACTGTATCCCGCTCTGTGGCGACAGGAAGCAGCACAGCTCAGCCATAACATTGGAGGGAAGTCAAGAAGGTGCTCAGGGCAGCCAATGGCAGCCTCTTCTCGATCACACCCACCAATGTGGAGGAGCCGGAATGGGGTCAAAGGCTGCCAAAGATGAAAAAATAGGGGCCACCACCTTGGGATTCTTTCCTCTTGGAAGGATTCTCACATTCATTGTAGCTCAACAACATTATTGGCCTGGCAGGAATTCTATGCTCATTTCAGCACTAGCCCAACGTTTTTGCATTTGTCCAGATATTTCGTCCTATACTGAGGCTGACCTCACTTTTCTGGAATACTCTTAGCAGACCTTCATAGTTTAATGTGTCTGATCCTATATCATTCTGTTCGTTACTCTATTCTGTTTCTATTAAGGTTACAGGCATCAGAGTTTAAAACAGCAGGTGAGAGATTCTTAAAAGTCATATTTACCTTTCTGCAGCTGAAGTCCAACTTCCAGAGTATCTGGGGAAGAAAAGGGAGAGATTCAGCGTCTCATCATTGGAACTGGATCAACAGCAGGGCCTCCCTACAGATAGAGTCTTCTTTGCTTTCCCTGGCCTCAGATCAGGAAATAAGGAACAAGGAAAGCTAAATGCGATAATGTCCTCAGTGTTTTTTTAAACAAAATACTACTACAAACTGAAATTGTCTGCCAAATATTCAGACTCACAGCACCAAGATAAGGCCTATTCTGCTTCCCTGGTGATCAGTGCAGGTGGATTTTGGAAAGAAAGGGAAATGGTCAACCATGACTTGCTAATGGTTCCCATTTTTTGCTTGAACGTCTTTAAGGAGAGAAATGAGAAAGCTCATGTTCCCCCTCCTTGTGCCCAAGACGCAAAGCCCTTTCTACGGAGAAATGAAGGTGTTTCTTCCACTGACCCTGAACTCTGTCCTTCTTTGATCCCTCCTGACACTAACAGAGAATGTCCCTTTTTTGTTCTGGGGTCAAAATGTCATCCAGCGTAAAACCCCCACGGCTGTTTTTTGTTACCTCTGAATTGTTTCATGAGGCCTTTCAGAAAGACACTGATATCGATGTAATCCCAGATT